ATATATATATATATACTTTGCTGGTTTTTGTGTTTCTCTAGAGAACCCAATCCAACACAACATGCTACCAGAATTTCAGTGTAGCTAGATCAGTTGCTGCCCTTGAGTGAGTAAGAAGAGATGATGCAAGAGGAGTGTTTAAACAACTTGGACTATATTCTCTAGGTTGCTTAACCTTAACCTTTTTGGTGGTGGATTTCAGGTTAAGATTTTCTGAAAGATTTTAGGGTGGAAGTGACATGATTCTATTTTTTTTTTTTTCTTTTTTTAGGGAGGAGTTTCTCTGGCAACATTGTATAGTTTTGAGGGATTAGAAAATTATCAAGTAGCTGCTGTGTTGTAGTTCTAGTGAGAAATGGTGGGGAGTTTACATGGAAGTATGTTAGCACCTTAGTCAGCTTTATTTGGTTATACTTGGGTGGTAGCAGCTTTCCAAGAGTGATAGTCTACATGTTTCTTACATGGTTGTGTTTCTTTTTTTAGCTTCAGAAGATTGAGGTTGCTCAGGGAAAAGGTTGCATTTCTGTGGATTGGCAGATATCTTTGATAAAAACTAGGAAAAGATATTTATGCTAACATCCTACTGGAATCCTGTTTTCGCATCTTTTTCTGTTTTTGTCTTGGTTCAATAGGAATAGCAACAACAACAATATTTTCAACTGAATGAAATATATAGCATATGTTTGTTGAGGGTTTTCTTTAATTGAGAGAGAATAGAGAGTTTAATAGCTTTTCTGTTTCTTTAAGGGGCTACTGGAAACTGTTACCTATGAAGGTGTAAAACACAAACCAAAAAAACCAAACTCACTGCCATCCAGTCCAGTCGAAACCAACTCATAGCAATCCCTCCTTGGGTTTCTGAGGTGGTATGACTACAGAAGTAGATTGCTCAACCTTCTTTCTGAGGAATGGCTGGTGGGTTTGAACCGCCAGGCTTCTGGTTAGCAGTCAAGTGCCTTAGGCACTATGCTACCAGAGCTCCCCAGAAGATTGCTGTTGTTGTTGTTATGTGCTGTCGAGTTGGACCTGACTCATAGCAACCCTTCCTTGGGTTTCCGAGGCAGTACCACTACAGAAGTAGATTGCCCAACTTCCTTCTGAGGAGTGGCTGGTGGGTTTGAACCTCCAGCCT